TTCAGACAGTTCTTGCACTGGCATGTGCTGCATCAATCCGATACGTCAAAGCCCGTTATCCTTTTGGCTTCCAAATACAGGGCACGATTGCACGTACTCAGTTGCATCTCGCTTCCAGCCTTGCCAGTACGCATGCTTGCGTACCCGGTCAATCGTTTTAGTCAATCCAACATGATCCACCAATCGTATCTCCATGACAATAGTATAGCACCGTTTTAATGAAAGACAACGCGATCAGCGGTACGCATAACGTCCTCGAGTGGGCCGCACAAGCTCGGAGGTGAGTGCGTCGCCACAGTATTTCTATGCGTACCTCGTACAGAGGCGCCAACTGAAGTGGCTTCACTCGGAGTTGGACGTCCACTTCCATCGCACCATTCTCCAAGAATGTCACCAGCTCCATGATCCACGGCGTGTCTATCTTCTTCCTGGAGCCGCTCCGAATCCAGACCAAACTCTTCCAAGGGCGATGTCGTAACGGGCTCGTCTAGTCCAGCATCTTCTTCTTCACGAGAAATATTCTCTGGAGAGACATCATTCTGGGGCTTGTTAGGCTCCCCAACTTCGCTTTACCCACCTTCTGCAGCATTTAAGGCGGTCTCCCCGACTTCGGCATTAATCTCTCTTCCGTTTCCAGCGTCGACGCCGTTCAGCAAGTCCTTCATAGTTAAGGCGCTCACGGTCGCCTTGTATATCCTAGAGAGGCCGTCCACGTGATCTATTGATTTGCCGACCTTGTTGTACACGTAAAAACGTAGCTGGGAAGGTTCAATCGTCCATCGTACCAGCTTACCATTTGTAGTACGGTTGTTTTCGTTGAAGACCCAGGTCACTGACCTGGTCAGCGCCTTGTGGTCCGTACACAAATCGAAATCCTATCTGTCCAGAACGCACCCGAATTGCTTCGTTTAGAGACGAACCTCGGCTAACTTCACCACCCGAAAACGAATTCGATCAGGAGCCGTACCTTCCCAGTAGGCTAAAGCAGCCTGTAGGCGCTCCCACCAATCTGGGCCAGTACCGGACCTGGCACCACAGCATCCTTTGCAAGATTCGCACTCGTTATTGTTCTCCATCTCTTCGTCTCGCACGAGGTGGTACACAGTCTTGCGGGGCAGAGAGCGGTACCGCGCAGGTAAGCTGCCAAACAAAGCATCACCTTTCTTCTCTAGTGAAGCGTCTTTGGGCTCGTCTTCACTGGCCGAGATATCTCAATGTCTCCTACGATGAACGGTTCGACTGTAGCCGCCAACTCGCGATCTGAAGCGTTCCACTGTACGCTCAGTATCGGCATCAAACCCGACGTTCTACGCAAAGAGACACTAATACTAAGCTCCTTTTCCAAAGGAACTTACAGCCCACGATCAGGGCTCAAAGTTAATACCTTAATTTTTATGCTTTAAAAGCAGAAGTGTTTTATTTATTTTTATTGCGGCAAAGCCGCCTAGGGGTAAACGTATATGTTTAACTATCTAGCATAGCTAAACCTAATCGAATGCATAGCGTGTGGCTTTCAGCCAACGTACTGAGAGACCTTGTTAACTCTCCAACTTTTGTACTGAGAGTTTGTTAGCTCTCCGGGTACTCCGTACCCCTGTGTGTCTTACACCATGTAACCCCGTTACACTAAGCTTGACGTGGCTGGAGCATTGGACGAAAGGGACGACGGTGGGAGAAGCCGTTTCCTTTGACGCTAAAGCTACGGCAGCCCCGCTGCACTTGGCAGCACTTGTAGTCAGGCCCGCTCCTGATTTGGTTGACAATATCCTCTGGGAGGATGGAACACCCCGTGTTCACAAATTTTCCCCCCGGCGCAGCAGGACGCGCTTACTAAGCTTATATCCCGGGGGGCGTGGCGAATTATGCGTCGCAAGTTCCAGAGGCGGTCACCGCCAGTCTGGAATCGCTCTCACGCTACGAGAACGCGCTCTTGGAGCACGTCCAAGAGAAGACGAGTGCCGCAACGGCGGTGGCGTCGATGACGCGTGAAGAGTCTATGAGTCCGAAAGCGCTCATGGTGAGCGTATAAATGTCGAGGGGAAGGATGGAGAGAATCTCCTTCTCCGGACCCGTGAGGTCGAGATGGCCATGGAATCGGCCCTGCTCCAGTCTGAGCATCAGCCCGTGTCGCTGGCTATCTCCAGGCTTGAAGGTTGCGCTCGCGAATGGGCACTAACGTGCGGCACGTCTTTTGACGCTACATTTCCCACTTGGCTTGGGATCAGCTGAAGCAACAGCTTTCGCGCGTGTTCGCGCCGCCTAATCAGGCGTACCATATCCGGTCAAAATTCCTTGCTACCCGGCAGGGTAAGAAGGGGTTAATGGACTAGGTCTAAGAGTTGAAAAATCTTATCGCCGGAATGGCGCAGACCCTCTTCCGGAACTGGTCAGCGTGACCGTGTTCATGGAGGGCATTCGTGTGAGCGCAGCTCGAACAGACGTTTTCCGTGCACATCCTAACCCATTTAAAGAGTAAGTGGATATGGCATTGAATGCCGAGCACAAATTCAGGTCGGCCCGACCTGGTTGAAGCGCTGGTAGCGCGAGCTCTTCGAGCGGTCCGGAGCTGATGGACCTCAGCTATGCTGAAAACGAAGAAGCAGAGGTTCTTGCTGCAGAGCAGCGCACCGGCATCCGCCGATGCTTAGTGTGCAATAGCACAAAGCCCTAGAGGGCCTACAGCCCTCTGTGCAAAAAGCGCGAGGCTTCGGCCGGGAACCGGCAACTACCAGTGGTTTACTGGAGAAGAACTGAGTTCTGCGTGCCTCAAGGAAGTAGAGAGGGCAACGGGGCTTAGCCCCGAAGAGATCCGAGCTCTCATACAAGAAGTGTGTGCGGCAAGAAAGTCCTGATTCCACGAATCGCCCTAATTAGCAAGAACCCTGGGCTCCCATTCAAACTGCGGAAAAAACAATTTTTTGTCCAAATAGCATTTGCCTTGACGATCAACAAGTCGCAGGGGCCGTCTATCTAGATACTGGGTCTGCACCTTCCGGAAACGGTTTTTGCACACGAACAGCTTTACGTGGCTGTATCTCGAGTGACGGCTCGACAGAACATCATTATCGTGACTGAAAATCCTGCCAGGACGGAGGACGGTGTGTAAGGTAAACTGTCGATTTGAGACCGTTTTGTTGATTTGAGACCACGGTAGGTTTAGCCAGTAAGCGGGGGAAGGGGGGTATTTTGCGCTCTTACTTGTCATTTGTAAAAATTGGAATAAGTACGAAATTGATACAAATTTATTCATTGGTATTGGGTTGGCGGGAAAATAAGAGAGCTGGTGGCGGAACCGACTGAATCGATGGAATCAATGTTCTTACATTGTGAGAGGATTTAACGCATGCGGTTTGTTTCCGCTCTCGTTGGTCAAGATGGGAGATCGACGGATTCATAATACCCGTAACGGGGTCCCTCGGCAAGTCGAACTTGCCACATGGCTTAAAATGAGATCAATTGTCGAAGACAAAATGCTGAAGCTCCCAGCCGTACCGCGCGAGGGCATCAACAAGAAGCGAAAGCGTTTTACTGTTGGTGGGCGACTGCTAACCCACGCCGGTTTAAAGAAAATCGAAACTAGGAGTGCCACAACTGGGCCGACTACGCGGAAAAAGAGGGAAGCAAGCACGCGATAGAGGCCCCAGAAAAATCTGACAAACGCAAGCAGCATCGTTGAGACTCCTGTACTTTAAAAAGATTAACAGCTAGCTCTAGCTCTAATAAAGTATGGCTACTAGTACCCACAATGTTTCGCGCTGCCAACTTGAACATCATTACAACCGCCCCGCTGTGTTGTAGTACCTCGCAGGAGAGAGCTTGACGGTAGTCGAGGGTGGTAATCGGGATCCAGTGTACCTGGGCTGCTGGCCGATGCGCTTGGGGTGTAAGCGGCGGCTTTGGGACTCCAGGAGAATCAGCACCCCATGCGCTAATCTGAATGCCGAGTGTGCAGCCTGCTGTGCGATTTCGAAAGTAGCTTGTTCTGCATAATTAATAGCCTAGTATACATGCTCACATGGTAAAAATATTCTCCTTGAAGATTCACCTAGCATTGACTAATTTTGTAATTGGTCGGTAAACATCACAAATCATACTGATTTCATGTCTAAATTTGGTCTCTTATTGACTGGAGTCAACATTAAGATCTCTTATCGGATGTTGTTTCCACAGCACAATTGCGTTAATTAATGACCAGGAATACACATAAAATATCAGAGATTCTGGCCTTTTCAAACCTGTCACTTTGCCGTCCATTGGATTGCAAGCTGTACGCTTGGGAATTAGATGCTTGTTTTGTGGCCCTAATTGACAGTATTCCTTACACCAAAAAATAGTCTACCACGAAATTGTCGGGCCACTATTATCCCGGCCAAAAAGGCTTGGACAAAAATGGTAATATATTTTATTTTAAATTAGAGGAATGTAACTCCGCAACCGTAGAGCGTTGTGTGTCCCCTTAATATATAGCTTGGTGTCTATTTATTCTCGTAAGAATTTCACAGCATTTAATAATGTTCACTACTTTTCAAACGGTCGCCGGTAAGAAATTGACTGCTGCTGAGAAGTACTTGGTTGTGAAGACCTACGAGTATCTCCGCCAAAAGAAGGCCTCTGCACCGCATCTATGGAAAGGAGGAGTTCGTTATCATGTCAACGAGTGTTTAGGCTTTGCTACGGGCACCATTTCAGCTATATGGGCGCACTGGGAGCAGCACCACGACAAGAATTTCACCTCGGTTGGCTGTACTTCATATCATTTCAGTTATTATTGATATTTAACATTTCAGTGGTCGACAAATTAATTACGACAGATGGAAGGTCCAAAACCATCTGGGAGGCCTCCGAAACATGGAGAAAGCATACAGCCTCTCGTGCGGGAGCTGGTGTCGAGAATGAACAAGAGCGGAAAACCTGTTGCAGCACCACAGTTAGCACAGCGTCTTAAAGAAGAGCACAGCACTGTGGTATCAATGCTCTCACTACGCCGCGTGCTTAGGAGGATGGGAATGCGATTTATAAAAGGAAAGTCTCGCAAAATTATGGCAGAAACGACGGCAAATGCTGCGTTCAGGGCGCAATATTTGAGGAAAAAAGTTTTAAACCTGAACAGACGAAATTTCCAGTGCGCCCCGAGGTTTATCTCGACGAGACTTTTTGTAACCTGCACCATGTCGCCAATTTATCGTGGGTTGATGAGGACAAGCTGCGGTATAGGAAGCGTGGTCGAGGTCCACGGTGAGTGTTTTATTTTGTTTTTGTAAATTAAAAACTTAACGTTATTTGTATTAAGAATTTATAATAATTATTTATTATTTGTTTTTAAAGGTTTTGCATTATAGCCGCTGGTATGCTTCGGCGAGAAAAGAATGGATTAGTTGGTGAATTGGTCAAAGAATCGAAAGAGGTGTGGCAATCCAGCTTAAAACGTAAGAACGATGACGATTATCATGGCAACTTCAACACCGAGCAGTTTGAGAAGTGGTTCACGAATCTGAGTGCTATTTTGGCGTCCAAGTATGGACCATGTAACATACACGTGGATGGGGCCAGCTATCACAAACGCCAAACGAACCCCACTCCAAATTCTAGCTCGCTAAAAAGAGATATGCAAGAGTGGCTGGAGGATAATGGTTTGTATAATGTTTTTTTTGTAGATTTTGTTTTTAAACTAACGTTGTATTTTGTTATTTAGAAATTTGATATGATTCTAGCTATACCAAAGCAGAATTAATGATGCTTATTCGAGCGAACAAGCCGAAGCCAATATATAAGGCTACTGAGATTGCCAGTTTACACGGACACCTGGTGTACTATGTATCATCCTGAATTATAACCCATCGAGTTGATATGGGCGGATATTAAGGGCCGAATTGCCGACAATCCAGCATCAGATATGCCTGAGCTACGCTGTAAAATCGACGAAGGTTTTGCATCGCTCACGTCAGATACGTGGGTAAATGCTTACACACACGCACAGAAATACGAGACAAAATATCTGCAGCAAGGTGATGAATGCGAAATTGCATCGGAACCAGAGGGCAGCAACGAGGACACGGAAGAGGATGATGCCGTCGATGACAATGAAGCTGTAGCCGATTAGGAATATGAGCGGGTGACCCGTTGTATGCTCTTCACACTCTAGATATTCACTTGACGGGTTCTTTTTAACAAGTTTTTATTTTTCTAACAATCGTCAAATTGCGGTAATATTTGGAATTTATCCATCCGGTTCTGAAAATCCCCACCTGTTATCCCGGCTCTGCCAATGAATATGTATGCATGTTAGTACGTGACAAGCCCACAATTGCAAACAATTCTGCAAGATATAGAGCCTTTTTTTAACGGCCGATTGGGAGACCAATGGTTGCAGATACGCAAAAATAGACCTCAAAATCGGAATCTACGCCCGATTTTACCCCTTATATCTAACTATCGCTATGGGTTTTGTGAAGGGAAGGGTTTCTTTTTTTGGACCAAAGTTTGTCCAAGGTTTGGTGGCCGGGATAATACCCGGCTCGGCTTAAACTTGCACAAAGAGCCCCGCTTGCGGGGGTCCTCTCGGTGTGTGCGTCCGATTAAAAACGCAAGAGGCAGTCTACTCGTGTTTGAATGAAAGTGTGGCGCTTTTGGCTATAATTACATCTTTGGAATAGTTAAGTCGAGTCAAATACACGGAATACTACATTGAATAGAAGCAGTGCTAGGGTCCATAAAGTCGTGTATATGTATGGTACTGTAGTCGGCTTATATGTACAGTAATAATACTTACTGTACGTGGATAGATTGACAATGGTGAGCAGCCAGCAATCCAATGACAAATTTTAGGATACTCCGATCAGGCCGTTACGGGACTTCCGTAACGGGAAAAGATAACCACAGAGCCCCCAAACTTATTCACAGATCGCCCTTATGAACCGTATGGTTTTTGCAATTAAACAATACCGCTGTAGAACCAGCCGCAGCCGACCTGATATCGCACCGCTTCTAAACCTTCAGCCTGTCCGTCCGTAACTTTCCTTTCTTGCTACTTTCCCTACCGTTTCGCATGGCTACACTCGACCTTTCTAATATATTTAACCCCCTTCATATCAGTTGTGCCTATCTTTCTGACTCGACCTGTCTATGCCAAAATTACAAATATAGCAAAAACGCCACACAATCCACTCGCGACGTGATTGGGCAATATTTCCCGACCCATTTTTTAATTCAAAACCCAAAATTAGATTTCCGAGCGACGGCGCGGCGAGGACGAGGTGCGCTGGCTGTATTATTACAGTAGGGTAGTTTTAGCTGTTTACGCGTGTGCGTACGGGCGTGGGGGGTCTTGTCCTACTATAAATTCAAGGGTGACCTCTCCGGATACAGTCTGAGGCTTGCCCCGAGACTCGAAAGTGGTATGGCAGCTGGTAGCGATATCATTCAGGTTGGGGTGGGTGTGACTGGGAGCGTCTATCACTATGCACGCGTCTAGGGGTCCTAGTCTCACCGCGAGTGTCCAAGCACCAGAAGCTAGTGGCTCGGGCTGTCAATTGGCCAAACCGAAGTTGCAGACATATGCGGGAGAGTCGTTACAGCCCCGCAAAATAGAATTGCTCTTTAAGTGTGAGCTCCTACAGTAAAACACACTTTGCGAGAGCAGGTCTGGTGAGACAGAAAGAAATTCAGCAGTCGGTCTCACAATACCAAGGAGCCCAGACCAAGAGCGAGGACAGCTCAAGAACAAGATATCAAGCCAAAAACACTTTAAGAGCATGAGTAAGCCCGCGCCAGTACATTTGAATAGCATAGCGTCATAATATACGATTTTAGAGCATTTTCGGAGCTGCGTGAGCCCCGCGAGGGACTGGATTGTTCTCGGACACCCTGTGCATACTATTGACATTACCTGAAGGGCTGGCCGGTTTCGAATAGACTTGGGCAACCACTCAACAGGACTGAGGCAACAGCTTTGACGTACCCAAGAGGCAACAGCGCGAAACGGCGTCTGGGTTACCATGTACAACTGCTTGGCCACAAGCGGGGCAAGGTAATTTGGACCCGTGGAGTGTGAGGTGAGGGCTGTAAGACGTCGGCCAAGGGGGGAGGGCCTAAGCAAAAGCTGGCTGGACCAACAAGTCGCCTGGAGAGACGATACATTTAAGTTGTTTGAAATCCGAGGAGCCGAGGTGGAAATGACAGTGGTGTGTTGTTATATTCACATAGGGCTTCTGGATTAGTACTGAAAAGGAAGGTTCGGAGTTCTATTCGATTGCTTAAGCTATCGTGTCCATGTTTTGGAACCTATATTTATGAAATAGCTGTAGAAGTCTAAGTCCTAGGGCACTTAGACTTTCGCGTCTAACCGCCCATGCGATTATGTTCCATCCAAACAGGCTACACTTCTGTTCAACATACGACAACATGGCAAATGACCCTAGGAAGAGAAAAGGTGAGTTGAACTCGCCGTGGATTTTGGGACCTAATACCAGAATTGACTGTGTCGTAAAAGCAGGATTTCCCGCGTAGAGCTGGATGAGCGTGTATATCGAGCCCGGCGTGAGAGCGTTACAAGAATCGCGTAAGGAAAGACAACTCCGCAAAAAAGGCTTCGATAAGCGGAAGCGTGCTACCGCAAGGCAATCCAAAAGCTACAGCAGCTCGACTTAGTTGAAGCACCAGCACCAACAAGATTCGAACAGCTGCGCAGACCTGGGTCACCTGCCGAACGTGAGAAGAAGTCAGAAGAAGATGACCCCGCGGTGGATTAACGTCGATTCGAGGAGGACTCGCGTCGTGGAGAACGTGTCAGCGATGTCCGCGTTTTCCAGATTAAGGCGTCGGAACCTGCAGCAGTCGATAGGGCTTCGTCTAAACGTGTGTGCAATGCAGAAAGGGCCATGACAAGTTCATAAAAGCGACGGACACGAGCAAAAGACGCGAAGCGAAAACGATTGCGAAGAGCAAATAGAATGGAATCGCAGGGTATCCGCGACCGTAAACGAGATGCTAAGCAAACGAGGGTACGACGCGGACAAATTTTAACTGGAGGACCTCGGAGCTCATCAAGAAAACCTTAGAAAGGCGCAGGTCATTCATAGAGCCACATGTACCGATGGTGAGCGGTAAGACGCTAGGATTCGTGATGCGGCGGCACACAACGATCGCAGAGGATGCATTGCTGATGAACAGCGACAGGTCGACCGCAATAAAAATACTACAGCACGGGGAGACAGCAGGGGGGGGGTTGTCGGACGAGCGGCGCAGAGCAGATAGCGGGCAAAATACTGCCGCGCACATAATAGAACAGAAGCCATGACGGAGGAACAAAGGGACCAGCTAAAAGAAAAAGAGCGGTTCCGCCGTCGGTTTCGGCAGTACAAGTAGGGCATTGCGCACCACGAACGTTTTGATCCTTTCAAATTGGCCGGTGGTCGACACTACACCGATCACACTAATAAGTCATGCTTCAAATTTAGTCGTACTTCGTACTTAAGAGATATAGTACATTATTTATACCAAATTTATAGATGCACCATTACTAGTCGTGCTCAATGTCTACCAACCGTGACCTGAAGCGGAATATGGAAATTTAGCAAACGGTACCATGCTAATTTCGACAATATCAAAAATGAGCGATGGCAATCAGCGCTCGCTGCTGCACGTTGTTGCAGTGGCCGACAGAGAGCGCTGTGTACAATGGATGGAAGGGGGTGTGCTAGGAAAAAAAGATCAGGACGTGTTTGGTCGCGCCACAGCGCGGTTTTCGTCGCTTTTCAGAGCGGCAGACCGGCAAATTTATCTTAACAAGGCTCGTGATTGGTGAAAAAAAACGGTTGGCACTGCAGCTCGCACTAGATGAGGGAGGGCAGCGGAAGTATGCAAGATCGTCTACTGATGTTCGTTACCAGCTTGTTCACAAGGCTTTCAGTGGTCGTGCCCGTAAGATAGATGACTTTTGGTCCTGGTTATATCCCGAGCTTCTTTCCGAATTTGAACTGCCTCGCAGTGCTGGCGTCAAGCTTTCGTCTCGTCTACTTATTGACATGGCTACAACAAGGATAGAAGTCCGCGCGCACGAGGTTTTAGCAAAGCCTACACGTTCAATGGGAAAATGTTTGGTGCTCTGGTCACACCTCGGCGAAATCAAGATTATACTGAGCGTCGCAATATTGTCTATCGGAAGATCAAGGGAAAAAAGGAAGTCAGCAAGGCAAAGCATCGACCAGTCCGTCGCAAAACACGTTGGCACCGTAAAACGTCTTTTAGACGACGGCATTCTGGACCCCGATCAACAGTTTAATATGGTTGAGAGTCATTTTGCTATCGACCTAGACGACGGTAAAACGCTGGGCTTTCGTGGCGCGGTCAAGGTCAAATACCGCAGTTTTGTTTCAGGTAATGTACTATCAATAGTTTTTTAAGCTTCGGGTCATATAGCGGTTTTAATTTGCTGGACATATTTTAATTTATTTTATTAGGTAGAGAAGGGATTACGATGTGTGTGCTACTTCGAGGAGGTTCGGACGCAAAAAATTATGTGACCCATACTCATATTCAAAAATAAGAAGTCCAGTTACCATATCCACGGTCTTCCTGATAGTGTTGCGGGGGCCGCGTACCATTCTTCACCGAGCCCGTTTGTCAACGACGCCCTGATGCAACAATGGCTCCACGAAGTGCGGTGCTGGGGTCCTGGTGGATCGCTCGCTGCAG